CGGCTAATTTTTGATTTATTGTAGAGATGAGGTCTCGCCAAGTTGCCCAGGCTGGTCTCGAACCGGCAGACGCAGGCAATCTACTCACCTCAGCCTCCGGATAGTGTCTTGACTGGAACAAATTATTGACATTTTGAGGCTGGTCTCTTGCAACACTGTATCAATTTTTCTGTGCATTTTACTTGCAAAGTGCTCCCATTGCAGAGGAAGGCATTCCCCCATGTGAGCAACACCCCTTCTCTAAGGTTCCTGCTCTCGGTTTCTCTTTGGATTTGCTGTCTCATACTATGCTAGACATTTCATAAGACAATTTCTAGAGTCACTTTTTTGGCCAGTGTTGAAGATTGACATAAGAGTTACCTCTTTCTCAATTCTTTCAAATGTCTTTGGGCTTTATAAACTGCTTACTAATTGTTTCCAACAACAGTCTGGCATTTATGAAGTCAGGTAACCACTTTGTGTATATTCAGATTTCACATGCATTCTCCCTCTAGCCCTATAGTTTTTTTTTCCCCCAAACTTTTGTTAAAAATAGAGCTCAGGCCGGGCTCTGTGGCTCAGCCTGTAATCCCAGTGCTTTGGAAGGCTGAGGTAAGTGGATTGCCTGAGCCCGCGGGTTAGAGACCCACCTGGGCAACTTGGCGAGACCTCATCTCTACAATAAAATAAAAAAAATTAGCTGGGCGTGGTAGTGCACGCCTGTAGTTCCAGCTACTTGGAAGGCTGAGGCGAAAAGATTACCGGAACCCAGCAGGTCGAGGCTGCGGTGGCCGGGAGCGGCCACTGCACTCCAGTCTGGGTGACAGAGTGAGACTCCAACTTCAAAAAAAAAAGCTCAGAATCTGACTTGTGAGTGGCATGAATAAGTTCTCTTATTCATTCTTCCAGCGATTCATTGTGGCCAATGTGTGTCCTTTAAAGTCAGGGCTACACAGCACCAGTGCTCTTTGAAGCCATGGGCAGTAGCTCCAACAGTTTGATCCATGGAGTGAACTCTAGGGTTGATGGTGGTTCTCATTCCCATAGGGTTCCTGGGAATTAAGGGAGTGGGGATGAGAAAGGACAGGATCAGGAAGGTTCCAGCCTGGTAGCTTCAGCCCTCTTTGCCCATAGGTGAAGGGTCACAGCAAGGCAACATCCAGGTTTCTCTCTTCTCCAGTCTGTTCTTGCTCTTCTTCTCAGGGATGGGTGTCTGAATCCCTGTTAGTCCATGGCCCATGTAGGATCTGAGCATGGCGCAGCTCTGCCTTTGCGTGGCCTGAGCTGACTGTTGGCTCTTCTCATCTGAGTTTCTTGTTTGCAAGACATGATAAGTGTGACTGTGGCAGTGCCTTATGGAGAGGGCAGGCATCTTGGAAACTTATTTCTAGGCATGTTGGAGGCCTATGCCCTCTTCCCCTATGCTTGGACATCTCTTCGTCTGACTTATCCTATCTCTCAGTTCCCCCTAGTTGCTTCTGAGAAACCATCTCCTCTAGAGCACAGGAAACATCAGGTCCTCCCTGGATGGGGCTAGAGGAGTCTGTTGGGCTCACCCTGGTCTTTGAGGGATCCATGCTAGCCCTTTCTTTTCTGGCTGGAAGGCTCTGGGCCTCCTCAGGTCCATGTGCAGCAGCTAATAACTGCAGGACCCAGACAGAGAGGCTAGAGGACTGCTGTGATGTTGGAGGACATAACTTTGCTGTCTGGTCTCAGCTCTTCACTAAATTCCTGTCCATAGTGAATGCCTGAGTTTCTCATGAGGGCTTTTGGCTAGGTTTTTCAGATGTGGTTTCTTGAGGCTCTTTGCCTCCTTTGCTTGTCTTTGGGGTTCTGGCCCCATGTGGAGGATGAGAGGAAACAGGAAGGTAGGTGGTCATCCTGGCCGGTGACCGACATAACAGCAGAGTGACTGGTGCAGTGGGGTTTTCTGGGCACAGCTCCAGGTCATGATGGTGAGAGCTGTTCTGTCAGAAAGTCTCTGAGCGAAGCAAGGTGCATGTCCCTCATGGTTCTTTCATGTGTTTTTATTCTCTGAGGATCTGCACTTGGGCCTGTCACTGTTCCAGACTCCAAAGGAGCAGCTACTTGGTTTGCTCAGTGGCTGACATTTCTGTCCTCTCTCCTTTCACTGGTCTCTTATGTTTGGAGCTGTGTCTTACTGAATTCCTTTCCTTCTGGAAGGCCCCCTAGAGTCAGGGACTACTTTTTGCCCCTGCAGTTTGTAACTTTCTGTTCCTGGGAGCAGCTGGGTGGAGAACAGCTGTGCAGAGGTGGGTGGTAGGGGGAGTCAGGGTACATCAGAAGCTGCAGAGCAGTGTGTGGGCTTGGTCTGTCTTTCAGGTTTCAGAGGAACGTGCTTGACCTCTCTCTCCAGTGGAGATTTGCCAACCTGCCCAACAATGCCAAACTGGAGATGGTGCCTGTCTCCCGGAGCCGCGAGGGGCCTGAGAACATAGTAGGTGGTGATCTGTGAGAGGCCAGCAGGCCTGCCTCTCCAGCTCTCGTTTGGCTGTGGGGTACAGAATGATTCAGAGACTGAGCAGACAGAGTTACATGCTGCAGGGTGGAGTGTGAGGTGGACTGTAAGAGCTGGGAAAGGTGGGATGTCGTCTTAGGGCCTGCTCAGCCTTCCCTGTGTCAGGCCAGAGCAACTTCTTTGACTTTTAAAACTGTTGACTGGAAATGAGACTGCTCACTCCTCATGTGGAAATTTTTCTTTTTCTTCTTGGTGGGGTTAATTGTGCCATACCTGGCTGTTTTCCAGCAGCATTTGCCCACTAACGTGATGTTCCTGGTCACAGGAGTGTCCAGAAACTTAAAACCTGAATTATGGACCTTGCCAGGGCATCTCTTGGTCTCTGAGGTGGGACACAGCAGGTTCAGGGCCTGCTTCGGGCCTCCTCCAGCGAGTTGCATTAGACCCTGGCTGCACATCTGCCTGCAGTCCACTGGTCTTCACCAAGTCATGAACTCATATTTTAGTGAACATCAGTGAAATTATTGTGGAAGAACACAGCAACCACGGCAATAACTGCCCTCCTTTTTGGGCCCCTGCTGGATCCTTTACTTATGTAATTTTGTGTTGTCCCAATGCCCTGAGAAAATGTTTTTTCATCCTTGTCAGATCAGGAGTCTCAGCCATGGGGGCATTAGTAGCTCTCCAAAGCCTGTCCTTGCCCATGCCAAGCTAGGAGTCCAGGTAGGCTAGGGCTGACCCTACTACCAGTCATTTTCTATTACAACTGTGGTTCTCATACTGCTGTGTGGAAGGAATCCGGGATTCCTCTGAGGGTTCTTAGGGTTACAGGGAGACTCCAACACATTTTCAATGCCGAGGAGCCCCTCTGTTTGTTTTTGGGATTTAATGTCAATGTGCATTTGAAGGAAAGAGTTCCATGGCTGAAACAGAATGGCAAGGTGTGACTTGGAGAACTAAGTGCCAGGCTATGGGGGCAGAGGTGAGCGTGGTGTTCATAGGTGCTTCTCATGGGGTAGATGTTGAACTTGTGTCCATGTCTAGCCTTTGACTATGTGTGCTCTAGTGTGTCTGTCATTGGCAGAGGGACCAGAAGGGACTTCTACCCATTTGGGTTATAGACAGATCTGTGCAAAATGGCACAGGGGCATCATTTTTTTTTTTGAGTTGGAGTCTCACTGTGTCGCCCAGACTGGACTGCAGTGGCCGCTCCCGGCCATTGCAGCCTCGACCTGCTGGGCTCTGGAGATCCTTCCACCTCAGCCTTCCGAGTAGCTGGAACTACAGGCGCGCGCTACCACGCCTGGCTAATTTTTTGATTTATTGTAGAGATGAGGTCTCTCCAAGTTGCCCAGGCAGGTCTTGAACCTGCGGGCTCAGGCAATCCACTCACCTCAGCCTCCAAAGGTGCAGGATTACATGGTTTCTGAGGGTCTGGAATCTGGGAGCAGCTCCACTCAGGGTCTCCCTTGAGGCTGCAGTCAGATTCAGTGGAGCCTGGGCAGGAGAAGCATTTCTAAAAGGGTTCCCTCCTATGGTACCTGCACACCTGTGTACACACACGTATGCAAATGTGCCAGTGTAACCATGCAGGTGGGATGGGGAGCCTCAGTGATCCTCTCTTACCTCCAGACTACGCAGAGGGGTAACGCTTCTTTGTAGGGGTCAGTCTTCTAGAAGGCCTGGGGAGGGGCAGGTGCCCTCCATCTCTGTCCTGAGAATGATTTGGGTCTGCATGGGACAGCTGCTTTTCCTCCTGATGAAGCTTCTCCATCTTGCCCCCTCCAGGTTCGCATTGCTTTGCAGCTGGACGATGGCTCTAGGTTGCAGGGTGCTTTCTGTTCAGGCCAGACCCTCTGGGAGCTTCTCAACCATTTTGCACAAACCAGGTGAGCATCAGTGGGCACGTCCTGGGTTCTTTCCTGCCCTCTTCTGTGGAGATACTGCTATGGTCATTGGGCTGGTCCAGAACCTTTTAGCACTTGGTGGTCCTGATTGAGAGGACTGGTTGCGTGTGTAGACTGCCTGTTTATCAGCCAGCACCCTCAGGGACAGGTCAGATCATGGCTCATCATACCAAGTTTCTGGGCCCTATAGCCCAGCCTCACCATCCTAGAAGAGCAAAGATATGCTTCTGTCTTTGTGGGGACCCGATAGGCCCCCAAGGGCCTGGTAAGTGGCAGAGAGGAGCAGCAAGGTGCTGGGTGCAGTCCTCCCATGTGTGTTCTTCCCCAGACAGGATTGGTGTTGAGGGGACCCTCAGACAGAACAGATAAAAGGCAACCAAATCAGCCAGCAAATCCTGAAGAAGTAGAATTCCCTTATGAAAATAAGTCATTTTTTAAAAGGAAATTTTAAGAATAGTTGATATTGTTAGTTTCTATTTGTTGATTATTGGTTTAACTTTTAGTTCTGAATGTGTAAAAATGGTTGCCCTTTAAATTTGGGTCTTCTTATTGTAGGGCAGAAGTCTTTGTCCACATTTAAAGGTCTCAGCCAACAGAATAGAAGGGTCTTTGGGAGGATGTAGTGTTTGCTGCGTGACTTCATTTGAGTTGCTTGCCATCTCAGGGTTTCTCTTTCTTCATCTGTACCATAAGTGGTATGGGGATGAGATGAGTTAATGTGTCTCAAGTACTGAGAACAGGGCCTGGCACCATGGTTTGTGTGTGTAAGAAGGTGACTCTGAGTAGGGCACTCAAGGTGGCCCCCTGGGTGAAGGCTCAGGACTTTACTGGGAAAGGCCTGCTCTGGTCTGATGGTAGTGCCATGCTGTGTAGCATCAGGTGTTGTGCTCATGGATGAGGGTGCTGAGGTCTGCAGGTCGGGGTCACCTCAACATCAGCTGTCTGAGTGACCATGGGGGTGGAAGTCAGGTTGGAAGCTGGTTAAGAATGGGTGGAGACTTCTGGTGAAAGCAGTGGATTGAATACCAGCATGTAGTTCTTCCTCCCAAAATGAGCTAAAACAATAGGGAAGGAGCTTAAGAAAAAGACAAAGCCTATAAGAATGGATGAGCAGGAACTGAGACAGCAGGAACAGCAGGGATAGGAAGGGAAGCGGATGGCTGAAGGGTAGGAAGGGTAGAGGGTAGGAAGGGAAGCGGATGGCTGAAGGGAACTGCAGTCTCAGTGGGAACTGGTCTCTGCAGAGCCTCTGAAGGTGGGCGGGCAGGCAGGTACTGGGTGGGGTGCCAAGGGCAGAGGATCCCAGCCCTCCCCTGCTCCGTGCTGTTGTATGTGAGTTTGCTCTCTGAGAGGGTGAGACATAGGGCTCTCTAGACTGGGGGTGCCTGCATGATTGAGAACAGGGGACTTAGGTGATTGTAAATCACCTAATGTGGAGCCCTGGCTCCCCATGTGGCCAAGCCTCTCCTCATAGCAGGAGTCTGAAAATGTCTCCCCAGGGAACCTGGTGGCTCAGAGGGAAGTTGTGACACTCCTGATGTGGGGGCCTTGGATGGCTCCCCAGATCACCACCTGGGCATGGCAGCTCTGCTTATGGCTCAGAGCTCACAACAAGCATGAACAGACATCTGAGTGAAGTTCAGCACAGATAAACAGGAGAAGTAGCTGCTGCACTGGGGACAGGACTACAGCGTTTGTTACTATCTTTGGAGGACTGAGAAGTTATCGAAATAAGAGTGGCAGGGGGGTAAAAAGGATACTCAGAGAGAAGTTGAAGCTCTTGGAGACTGAACAAATACAGCATAAAGTGTGCAGACCCTAGCTGTGTCTCAAGTGGTCTATATCAGTTGCTTGTTGCCAGGACTCTCGTGCCAGTGGCTCCTCCACTTCCTGACTGGTGGCTTGCATTCTTCTTGAGGTGCTGGTAGAGTGCAGGAGAGCATGTGGGGCCTCTGGAGGCAGGGCAGACACTTGGAACTGGTCAGTGTGGCTGAGCCCCTGGGTAGAAGCCTGAGCGTCGGAGCTCTGGGAATGGTGGGAGGCCAGTCAGAGAGTCAGCCTGGTGGCCCAGCATCCATGCCAGGCCTGTAGTAACTAGCACAGAGAGCAGGGCAGGATGGCAGGGCAGCCACACTGGAGAACGTCCCTAGGACAGGAGGCATGAGATTCCAATTAAGGGCCTCAGCAGGCCCAGCCAGTGGGTGGAAGACCTACCTCAAGGGACATACGTTAACATAAAACTTGGGCACTGGGAACAGAGCTGGTTTTGCAGGCTCTGAGAAGGAAGGGTAGCCCCACACAAGGCCCAGGGTCAGGATCCTCAGTCAGCAGCACTGGAGCCTACCACCGGGAGGCTGGGAGTAGCACATTGGAATTCTGCAGGAAACCCAAAGTGTCATTGAAGAGCAAAGGTAGAACAAGATGTTCTTAGACCTGAAAGATCACTAGTTGGCTCTGTGCTCCCCCTAGGGAAACTGCTGAGACTGGGCTCCATCAGAGAAGGGAGCCCCAACTAATGCTGTGCTTGACGGGAAGATCCCGAGAGGAGTTGATAGTGCCTGCGGATAAGACCAAACACTGTGGGACACAGAAGTCAGGAAAAATGAGAGTCCCCAGAAAAGTGCCATCTAGGCCAGGACAGTGTCCTCCCGGTGGCTCCCCCTGGCAGTGCCTCCTGCTCAAATGATGCTAGACTTTGGGGGCGGCTGGCGCATGGGTGAGGAGCTTCACTGTAGTGTCGGTTGTCAGATGGGAGATGATAAATTGCCCCACATGTCCAGGGTTGCCTCTGGGGAGGGGCCAGGGTGTCCAGAGAGGTAGGGCAAGAATATCTGTGGTAATGTCAGTCTCTTGAACTGATTTTGTAAACTGTGTGTGGAACGTCAATAGAGGCAACTCTTTTAAGAAATCGGGGGACAATGGGAGGAGGTAGGACTTGGGGAGGTTCTGAAGCTCAGAGGTCCCCTTGGGTCTGGAGGGCAGTTTGGGTGTGTCTGTCTGCATGTGCTAATATGAACACTTTATGTTATAAACACAAGAGGTACACAATGATTTGTACCTGCTTTTTTTTTTTTGCTGATGAATATGTCACAAGCATCTTTCTGAAGATTCTTGTATACGTTACTCATTGGGGCTGAGTTTTCCTCTGTGGTGTGCAGGTGGCTTCTTTCAGTACTCACCCAGCTGCAGGTGCTTGACAGCGGGTTGTTTCTTAGCGGTACTCTTTCCTGTGCAAGACTGGAGCGCACTGTCAGGTGGGAGGTCTTTGTACCCACTCACCTGTCCTGGTTCTTCCTGTAGGGGAGGCCGAGCCCTGTCCAGAGGTGGGACCTTAAGACAGGGCTTCTTTAAATTTCATCTCCAGAAGTTCAGGCCCAAGCTGGGTCCTGGAGGCTGGGCACTTATTTATCACGGGGCAGGATGTGGACAGGTCTGTGGCGGGCAGCATTTCCCAGCCTGTGGTGAGGATTAATCTCCCAGAGGACTCAGTGTTAGGGACATCACAGGGATAGTGGCTGGAAGCTGGAGCCTCCACCATGGAGACATCAGGTCCCAGCAGGTTCGCAGGAGGGAGGGAAGTTTAAACTTTAGCTCTGAATGTGTAAAATTGGTTGCCCTTTAAGTTTGGGTCTTTTTATTGTAGGATAGAAGTCTTTGTCCACATTTAAAGGTCTCAGCCAGCAGAATAAAAGGGACTTTGAGAGCATGTCCAGCACCTCGTACGCTGGCCTGAGGTGCAGCAGAGGCAGAGCAGGAGGCTTTGGGAATTTCAGGTCTCTGCACAGTGGGCCAAGCAGGAGTCTGGCTTTTCTCCCCTGATGCTTTCCTGAAGAGGTAGGAGTCCAAGCACGGTTTAAGTGTTGTGCTTAGAGGAGGGTGTTCTGATGTTAGGGGCTGCTTGAGAGGTGTCCTGGGGTAAAGCCTGCTTTGTGTGTTCAGGGACCCCTGGGTGATTTCCTGAGGTGGAGGCTGCTACACACTCAAAAGGTGGTAGCCCCTGTATGTGAGCATCACAGCAGCGTGTGGCCCAGCCCTGACCCAGTGTCAGGAGCTGTATTGGCCATGGGGATACCACATGAGCCATATGTGTAGGTCACGGAGGTAACTCAAATTTTCTTATAACCACATTAAAGATGAGACAAAAAGTGGCATCATTAATTTTATCAGTATGTTTAATTAACTCAGGCCAGGTGCAGTGGCTTGTGCCTGTAATCTCAGCACTTTGGGAGGCTGAGGCAGGAGGGTTGCTTGATGCTAGAAGTTCAAGACCAGCCTGGGCAATATAGCAAGTCCCTGTCTCTACCAAAAAAAAATGTTAAATTAACTCAATATACCCCCAAGTTTTATTATTTGAACATGTAGTCAATAGAAAAATGAGGTATCTCATGCTTCTTTCTTTTTTTAAGAGATAGGCTCTTGTCCTGCAGCACAGGTTGGAGTGCAGTGGTGCCATCATAGCTCACTGCAGCCTTGAGCTCCAGTGCTCAAGCGATCCTCCTGCCTCAGCCTCCCAAGTACTGGGATTACAGGCATGTGTCATCAAACCTGGCTAATTTTTTTCGTTTTTTTGTGGAGATGGAGTCTTACCATGTTGCTGAGACTGGTCTCAAACTCCTGGCCTTAATCAATTCTTTTGTCTCAGCCTTCCAAGAGCTGGGATTACAGATGTGAGCCACCACGCCCAATCCATGCTCTTTTGTTTGTATGAAGTCATTGAAAACCAAGGCACATTTGGGGCCATCTCCCTCTGGGTCAGCTGCTGGGTGATGATTATGGCCTCTGCATACACTGGCCACTCCTTTCTGCCTCTTAGACTCTGCTGCCAGAGAGGACACTATGAGATGTGGGCTCCAGGCTACTGGCTTTGAGCTTTCCTGTTTTCCTTGTAGCCTGAGGTTCCTGACCAGTAGGTGGGCATGAACATCTGTGCTGACCTCTGAAGGACACTGTTCTCTGCCTGCCAGGGCTGGGCCTGTGTTATAATTTAGGATCTTTAAGATAGAAAGCACATCTTTAATGATGAGGGAGATGCAAGGTGGAAATAGAGATTTATTTATTTATGTATTTATTTATTTATTTTGAGTTGGAGTCTCACTCTGTCGCCCAGACTAGAGTGCAGTGGCCGCTCCCGGCCACCGCAGCCTCGACCTGCTGGGCTCCAGCGATCCTTCCGCTTCAGCCTTCCAAGTAGCTGGAACTACAGGCGCGCGCTATCATACCCAGCTAATTTTTTGATTTGTTGTAGAGATGACGTCTCACCAAGTTGCCCAGGCGGGTCTCGAACTCACGGGCTCAGGCAGTTCTCTCACCTCAGCCTCCCAAGGTGCGGGATTATAGGCTGAGCCACTGAGCCCAGCTAGAGATTTATTACTTACAAGCTCTGGAGGCCCTACAGAGGTCAGTCAGGACCAAGAAAGGAAGGAACCTGGAGGGCCTTGCAAACCAATGCCTTTGTTGGGGTCCTGGGTGTTATCCAGAAAGGTTTCCCAAGGGCACTTTTAATCGGTGAGTCTAGAGCCAGCAGGCACGAGCTCTGTGAGGTCACTGCAACAGGCCTGTACAGTCCATGGTGAGCGTGAGGGGCAGGTGGTGAGTTGAGTAGGTAGAATCCAGCCATTCCACTGGGATGTAGTCAACAGGAGACAGTGGTAAGAGGCAGGTGTCTGATGGACCACCTTGAGGAACTGGGAGGAGGACGAGAACAGGACCTGTGTTGAGTGTGACTGAGCACTGCTTCTGGAGTGAGAAAGTCCAATTTATGTTCTAAATGGATACTGAGGGAACATGGAATTGTAGTAATTCACCCACAACCTGAATGGAGCTGTGTTCTGTCTAAAGGAGATTAAGGAGTAGTGTAGGATTTTTGAAAATGTCAAGTTAATGACTCTGCTGTGGTGGGAATTTGCCCTCTCATAAAGGGTGCCCCAGGTGTGCCCCACCCCTGGTGGGTGTGGCCCCAGATGTGCCCTGACCCCAGGCTGAATTCTTTGCCCAAGCCCCGCCCCTCTGCTCCCAGCCTTATTTCACTTCCTTGCTTGTGAGTCTGTTCAGCATGTCCCTTACACTTTAAAAGCTGCACCTTGGGAAGGCCACGTGACTTCTCTGGCCCCTGGGTGTGGTGAGCCGCAGAGAAGGGCTACAGAGGGGATTCCTGGTGAGGATGGAGCTCTGCTGGGGTCCAAGCACCAGCTTGTGGCCTCACTCAGGATGGGTCTGTGTGCCCAACTGGGCGGCCAGCTTAGAGCTCTTGGGCTGTGTCTTCTGTCTGCACCTGGCTGGTTTGGGAAGGCCAGAGGCTTCTTTCCTCTCCTGGTCCTCCTGGGTGACTCTCTCAGGCTGTGTCTGGAACTTCATGCTGGACTGTCATGTGGCAGGTGGGGCCCTAGACACTTGGCACCTTCAGCCAGACTCCCTGAGCCAGGAGGAGTGGCTTGCTTGCCTCAGCCACTGCTCTGTGGGTTTCTGTTCCTGGTGGGGCACCGGCCTGGTTTTTTGGCAGCACCTTTGTCTGTACCAACCTGACTTGGTCAAACCCAAACATGGGACATAAACACAGAAAGCTCCAGACATACTGTCTTGTTCCCAGTGCACAGCTGCACCTTGCTGGGCCCAGGTGGGCAGATAGTCCACCCGCTGGGGACCGCGAGACTTGTAGTAGGTGAGAGCATATGTAAAGCCAATAGCAGCGGCATCTCTGCCCTGCTTGGCTGCCCCCGCTGGCTTCTGACCCTGACTCAGGAGGAGATCTGTTGTTCTTAGTGGGTTTGAGAGCTCCCTAGTCCTCCCCATATGGGCAGGCACCCCTGGAAGAGCCCCACGACACCTGGTCTCTCCTTTCTGGCTCCAGAGCACAGTATGTGATGACTCGGCCTGGCTGGGAAATGGGGGTAGGCCCATGGGCATGCGTCCCGGGAAGCCCCATGCTCTGCTTCCATAGATGTTTGGGACTTACAGGGGTGGGGGAGGTGTGTCTCTGCTGGTGCATGAGAAGATGTCTCCTCGGTACACTGGAATTTCCCCCCGGGCCCTGGGTCCTGCGTGCTGGGCTGGGCTGTAGAAGGTCTGGAAGCGATTGCAGGCCCCCCCTCCCCTCGGGTACCTCCGCTGCCACACAACATGTTCACAGGCTGCTCCCTCAGATCCCCACACGAGGGAATCTGATCCTTCTGCCCCTCCCTCTGGAGGAGCGCACATCAAAGCCAGGCTGGCGTTTGATGTCACGCTGCTGCTGTGCTGTGTCCCTGTTTGTGATTTGCGGTCCTCAGGCTTGCCCCAGGGAGGACTGCAAGAAGGGACTCTGGCCATTGTGTGCTTGCTTCAGGCCAGGGGCTGGCGCTGGTCCTCTGACTGGGCCAGCTGTTGATAAGCCAGCATCCTAACTGTGTCAGTGTCAGTTACTGTCTCTGTCGTGTTTGAAAGAGGCAGGGCCTTGGCTCCCAAATCTCCCTTCCTGGCCCCGAGGATCTTGCTTGCGTAGACTGTCATCTTTAGACCTCTGATGCCGCCTCTGTCCTTGCTTCAGAAGGAGTAGTGGTGAGGGCCTGCCCTGTGCCTGGGGCCTTTGCCCTGGCATGTTTTGGGGTCTTGTGTTTTCCTGAGCCCCGGGGCCATGGAGTCTCTGGTGGGCCAAGGCTCTTGCCCTTTGGGGAGAAGGTAGATCCAGCAGTGTGTTGTTGGATACCCCATGGGAAAGAAGCTCAGCAGATATGCCCTGCCTGCAGCGAAGGGATGTCAACTGCTTGTGTGGAGGCACATACTCCACTAGGCCTTCCTGGGGAATGGGCTCCATTGCAGGCAGCGAACATGGAGGGCCTGGAATGGGGTCCATGGGGCTGCTGGGACTCGTGCCCTCCTGGTAAAGCTCTCTGACCCCACATGAGGAATGGTCACACCTCCCCAGAAGGGGTGAACACACAGAAGGAAAGAAAATGAGAAACAAAGGGAAACACACCTGCATGTGGGAATCATGCCGAACTTGGGCCCTGGCAGCTGGGTTTGGGGAAAGTCTTCATGTTCATGGGTCCGTCCTGGGTTTGGCACTTAGTGCTTTAATGCTTGGTCCTTTCCCATTCATGATGTGAGTCTTGCTCCCTCAAGCAGATCAGCAGCATCTCAGGGTCAGGAACTGTGGTTAGTACACAGTTGCCCTGTGGCCCTGTGAGTGCACAGGTGTGTTCATGGTGGAGGCCAAGAACACCTGCTCTGGGGAGCCTGTTTTGTGCATGTGTGAGTGCATGTAAGTGCTCATGTGTGCATGTGTGCATACGTATGAGTGTGCAAGTGTACATGTGTGCACACATGCCTTATGCTTGGACTTCTAGGTATACTGTCCTCTGACTCTCCCAGGCTGTCCTATCCAAGGGTGTTGTATGTGAGCCTAGCCCTTACCTAATCTTTGTGTCCTGTGTTCTGGTCACCAGCTCAGCTCCTGTGTCTTCCCATTCCTGAGCCACACCAACTGTGAGGCCTGGCAGGACTGCGCTGTGTGGCCTGAGGTCAGCCCGGCCTCCTCTCTGCCGAGGCCCTGCCCATCAAACCCCTCCTCTCAGATTCCCCTCCCTGGAGAGGGACTGGCTTGGCATCTCCAAGTAAGGTCTGAGATGGGCTTTGATTATCTTGGGGTGAATTTTTAGTGGTGTCTTAGGAAATGCAGAGATGACCCAGTCAGTTGCAGCAGCCTGCCGCCACGGTTTAGATACTCCAGGACTGGGCAATGGCTCGTATGCACTGTTGCCTGGCTGCTTGGCACAGCATAAGCTACTGTGTGTGTCAGGCATGAGCCTGTGACTGCATACCCGCTTACCATCATCCCTCCTGTGTGCCATGATGTTCAGAAAGGTATCGCTGGCAGAGGCCAGTGTGGGCTGACACACTGCCCTCTTGCTCACAAGTACAGCCTCCCAGGCCATGACTAAGCTTAAGTGTGGACAAGAGAGAAACACAGCCCCTTTCCCTCACCCCTTGGTGACAGCAAGTATCAGCGTTGGGGGGGGCGGGTAGTGACACTGGAGGAAAGGGCTCTGTAAGGAGGGTCCCAGTGGTGCTTCCCCACCTGCCTTTGCCCTGTGTCCCCAGCCTGTGTCAGTGACCAAGTGGCCCTAGGTGCCTGGACCACTGCCCAGGTGAAGTGTCCAGGGATATGTCTGGGAGCCTAGGCCCCAGAACACATGACCATTTTGCCCTTCATGCGGAGGGCCACCCATCATCCACATCCAGGCACAGAGAGGATGTATCATGGCCTGATGTCACACAAGTAGGATATGGTGGGGTACAGGCCAGCCCCCCCGGGTACACTGGGCCAGGTACAGGTGATGAGCCGTGATTTCAGAATGCAGCATAGGTCAAGAACTGATGCTCTAGGCCTGCTAGAAGACTGCTACCCTCTGTCCTGGCATCTCTCCTTGGGGTCTGGACATGGGGGATGGCACTGAGTGGTACTTGGGCCCTCCAGGGCCTGGGCCTGTTTCCTGTTTCATGGATTTGTGCCTTGAATGGGTACTTGTGATTTTGGAATCAAGGACCCTTTTAGTGGATGGCTTCGGATGAAAGCCTGGCTCCCAGGACTCCTGGGCTCTTATGTTGCTTAGCATGGGTACAGTTCATGCTGTGTCCAGGAGGTGGCCATGGGGTTGGACCTCTCATCTTGTGTCCTACCAGTGCTTTGAGTCTAGGGCTGGAGGCTGGTGGGAGAAACCCTCAGGCTGTATGCTGAAGCCTTTGGGGGCTCTGCCCAACTGTTGGCCGCCTCCTGTGATTGTGGGGTATAGTGGGGGCCAGAAATAAACTTGGGCTAGGGCTGCCTGGGCTGTGTCCTAGGCCTGGGTTGCTACCCTGGGTGGGTGGGTAGGGGCTTCACACCTTCACCTTGTGAGTCCCCAGCCCCAGAGGGGCCTCCATGGAAGCTGGCTGGGGTGCCCTGGGGATCCTCCGTATGTTTCTGACATCCTCTTTCCTCTTCTTCTAGGGAGTGTCTGCAGCAGCCGGGTGGGGCAACCCCTGTCTGTGTGTACATGAGGGATGAGGTAGGTGACCCGCTGCCACCTTCCTGTGCTGGTCCCCACTTGCACTCAGCCCACTTTCCAAGTGGGAAACCCGCTCTCCCTCACCCATCTCCAGAGCAGTGGCAGGACTCAGGCTCTTGAAAGCCTGATGTGTTTCATGGAAAAAAAGTGAGGCGGCTGGCCCCGTGGAGCCTGGCCGCGGCCGCCCGGGCTGCTCCCGAAACCTCCCTCAGCGCCCTGTTTGTTTTTTCAGCTTCTCTCAAAGCCCAAGAGTCACAAAAGTGGTTTCATTTAATAAATATTTGCTTTGCTTCGTGTTTTGATCTTTTTCAAAACCGAGTACAGCGTGGCGCAAGCAGAGCCTGGCAACATGGCCCTGCCCGCCTGCCCTGCCTACCCGCCCCGCCCGCTGTGGCAACGACCCTTCTAGTGCTTGGTCCCCCCAGCCTCACAGGGGCTTTTTGTTTCAACCCTGGCCCCGTGCCCTTTTGCAAGCTGGGGGCACCACTGTTCCCAGGGGGCCCTGAGGGGCCCTGGTATGGACGGGACATTCAATTCCACCCTGTTTATCCCCAGCTAGAGGTTTCCCAGCCTGGGCAGTGAGGGGGAGGGACGAAGAGGGCAGCTCTGGTCAGTGTCCTGCCCCAGAGGGGTGGACCACTGGGCCTCCGGACCCAGGCCCTGTGCTTGGTGCTTGAGCACACCCTCAGGCTTTTGTGTTGGGCATGGCAGGGTCCTCAGGGATTGTCCCACTCTAGAGGCAGCTCCTCTACCCCTTCCTCAGGTTCAGAGCTAGTGGCTAGCCACGCCTCAGCTCTGCCTGCCCTGAGGCAAGTGTCAGGAATGATCTGTGCATGGGCAGCATGGAGGAAGATAGGCAGTGTTCCCAAGGCAGCATTGGCCCTCCGTTCTGTGACTGATCAGGAGAGGTGGTGGCTGGAGCAGATGTGACTGCAACCAGATGGGGTGTCAGCCTGGCTAGGATGCCTGATCCCATGAAGCTGGATTTTGTGATTTTGGGGCCCACCCAGCTCAGAGTCTTTTGAAAAGCAGGGGCTGCCAGCCCAACCTACTCTCAGCCCACCAGACAGGGGAGGACTCCCTCTGGAGGCCTAGTGGACGCCCATGGTGCTGGGATGACCCTGACACAGGAGCCTGGCTAGTTTAATCTGCCTGGCTGCCTGAAGCCTGCATCTTACACATGTGGATTCTTTCATCCAGGCCTACTCCCTACCCCCATGAGTGATGGCACGTTCCAGCCCCTCATTCCCTAGCCTTGCACTTTGAGCAGCAGGCCTGGGCAGCAGAGCATCCCCTACCAGCCCAGTGTTGGCTTAGGCCTCTGTGGGATTGCGCCATAGCCAATGAGACCAGGCCCGGTTGGGAGGCAGGCAGCAGGTCCTTCCCAGCTGTAGGCTAGGTTCAAGCTGGGCCTCAAAGACTGAGAGGGCTGGAAATGAAGGGTGGATAGGTTGGAGATCAGCCAAGGGTGTGGGATGGATTGGAAGGACGAGGAGGGCCGGCTGGGACCCTGTGGTGCCAGTGTTATTGGTGCCCAGGCAGGGGAGGGGAGGGCCTCTGGACAGCAAGAATGTACTTGGTCTGCTGAGGCATCAGCCTAGGCCTCATGGGAACTTTTTCAGGTAGGGTCAGTGGGGATGCCAGACTCATGGGTCCAGCTGCAAGGCTCACCTGTCCTGCTTGCTTCTCCTGCAGGTGATGGGTGGTACTACGCTGCGGGGCACCACGCTACAGTCACTGGGACTCACTGGGGGCAGTGCCACGATCAGGTAGGGCAGCGTCATATGGGCCTTGGAGGCTGTGTAATGAGAAAACGTAGTCTCAAAGAAAAAGGAAAGGAAATGTGAAAAAGTAGGAGAAAACGTATGCCCCAGGACCCTCATCTGGTGGTAGGGGAGGTTGCTGGCTTCTCCCGCCTGCAGGGGGAGGTGAGGATCCCAGCCACTTCTTGGCTGCACCTGCCCTTGGGCCTCTTCTCTTCTCTCTAACCCCCAGAGGTGAAATGGATTTTGGGAGGGGGCATGAAAGGCTCTTAAAGGATAGGACTCAGAAGAGGGAAGAGCCGACCTGTGACATTTTGCCCTCTGGGCTCCTGCACAGGTTTGTCATGAAGCACTGTGACTCCAACTCTGTGGGCAGGCAGGAGCCTGGGGGTGCCAGGAGCAAAACCCCAGGAAGCCCAGCCACCTCTGCATCAGCTGAGCAGGCAACTGGCCTCCCTCCACTTCCACTGGATTCAGGGGAGCTAAGCAGAGGTGACCTGGGCCGTCAGGATGATGCAGGCACCTCAAGGACGAGCTGCGTGGATGACCTGGGCCAAAAGCCAGTGGATGCTCCAGCAGAGCAGAGTGTGAAGGCGCCCATGCCTACCTCCTTTGTTCCTTTCTCTGGTGGGGGACAGCGACTAGGGGGTCCTTCCGGGCCCATGAGTTCTCTGCTGTCACCTTCAGCCAAATTACCGATGTCCTTCTCCAGCCCAGGAGGCCCCTCTGAGCCAAAGAAGTCCAAGTCTGGCCAGGAACCCCAGCCAGAGCCAGAGTCGGTAAGAGGGTGCCGGGCCCGGGGACCTAGGGCCATCCTGTTTCCTGACCATGGGCAATGGCAGTTGTGGTAGCCCACGTGACTACTGGTCAGCCCGGTGGCATGGCAGTGTCACTGGGCTCATTTTCATCTTCTCATGAAAGTGATTTTTTGGTTTTTTTTTTAAGCCATCTTTATTGAGATACCCATTTAAAATGTACAGTTTGATAGGCTTTGACAAACACATGTGCCAGTATAACCACCATCACAGACAAGACACAGAGTTTCTGCTACCCTGGAATGTTCTCGTTTGTCCCTTCCTATCTATGAGGGGAGGCACATCCATTTCCACATGGCGACTTGTAGCAGGTACTTTTCCACCCTCCTGACTGGCCTGGGGGTTTTAATCAGGCTCTTGACACGAAGAAGGTAGCTTTGGGCATTGATGAGTCTTCACTAACCATTTATTCCCGAGCTGAGCATTTTTGCAACTTGTCTATCCCTGTTACTGGTTAGCATGTGTGTGGGACAAGCCAAATAATTCTAACATTGCCCTAAACAGAGTAGAATTCGACGACAGATTTGTTTTCTGGTCAGAAGGTTCCATGGTGTGTGCTCAGGACTTTTGGCTTATCTGGGCGGGACTTCTTTGGTGTGGAAGCTCTCATTGGCTGTGGTTAGATGGGCTGGGAAGAGAGAGCAGCTTCTACTGAGCTGCCGTGTGTGACTGAGTCAGCCCGCAGGTCTGGAGCCACATCCAGCCATTGTGTCTTCTCCCGTAGTCAGCTTTATTGAGGTGTAATTTACCATGCACAGCATATCCACTGTGAGTGCATCTGTGGGCTCCTGTGAATAGAGCTATCACTTCAGTCTTGTTTCTCCTGCTGTCATGGTGGTGCCCATCCCCGCTTTTCCCACCAATGCTGACCCAAGGATTGGAAGGTGCTCCACATTCTAGACATGCTGTGGGCGGCTGATGGTCAGGTCTCAGGCCTGAAGGTAAGAACCCTACCCCAAGCCGGGCTCGGTGGCTCAGGCTGTAATCCTGCGCCTTTGGGAGGCTGAGG